CAAAAAATGCTATTTCAAAAATATAATAAAAAAAATCAGATGAAAAAAAAAAACAAAAAACAAATTGACTTTGAACGATTTGTATAAAGCGATCGATATTGATCACAGTGCATGATCAATGAAAGAATATTTCTATAAATGATAATTTTTTTGTTGTAGCTCCCAAACAGTAAACGGGCACGCCGCCAAACACTGTGAATAGATTCGCATTTTGGGTCAATGACAAAAAATATAAAAATAAAATAATAAAAAATTGGCAAAAAAAAAAAATTAAATGAAAAACCAATAGAGAGAATAATAAAATCGATCGATGTATATAAAAGTAAAGCGGAAAATGAATTTTATGTAGCGACTAAAACATAAATAAATCAGACATTTAACGATCGAATTGCGAAATTAGCGAACAAGCAAATTTGAGAATGCAAAATAAAAAACAATTGCGAATTTTTATATCTGTTTTTAAATACATACATATACGAGTATATACATATTTACGATGAGAATGCATGTCGATATGCAAAACATACAAATGAATGCTCGCTGCGGGTGACGCGCTGCCGATTTTCGGGGTGCGTTCATGCGAATCTTTTGCGATCGCTCGATCATGCGAACTGTGTGCGAGATCACCATAAATAGTGTAGTCGAGTGATCGTGTGTGGTGATCAATGTTATGTTATCTTATGTTATTTGGTGCTGTGTTATGTAGTGTATTATGTATTTGCTTTCAATAAGGGTTAGGCTGCCGCTGCGGCCTCCTATAGCCACATACACACTGCTATGTATGAAGGTGTACGCCAATCGGCGCTGATCAAATGAACAGATGACAAAATTGATCATTCTCAATTTTAATAAATTCATCGGTTGTACAGTTAGATATGCGCACTACAGTAATCGTCCCTCCCGACGTCTGCTTCAACAATTGGCCCAAGCAAGAGCGCGATCGTTATTTTATGGTGAGACCGATCGTTGATCGTTTTTCGATCGATATTGGTTCATTTTAGTACAATATGTGTTTGGTGCTGTTTTTAATATTGTTGTTTTTGTACTATGTTTTACTGCCAGTGTACGGTCGAATAGCTTGACTTGATTTATTTGCCATTTGGGTGGTCGCAGAGCTAACGCAATCGGTCGCGCCACCGCCGCGCGATCAGTAATAGACACAACCCACAAGCAAGCGCGCGCGCCTGAGCGTGTGTGCGGTGCGGTCGCATATCGGTGTTGAATTGTGCGGCGCTAAGTTGTTTGATACTTTTGCTTTTGTTTCTGCATTTTTTTTTTTAAATGTTGTATTTTTTACTTCCCGCGCTGCATGTGAATTTGCCATTTTGGCCTTTTCATTTTGTTGGCCACACGCATATCAGCAAATATTTGCATAGCTCAGCGTACGAGTATTTGCTTGCGAGGCATGAATAACTCCAGTTTTGATATCCATGAATAAATTTGTATACGATTTTCCCGTTTCACTCTCTCAGCGTGCCTTGGATAGCGGGTTCAAAAAAATGTTCTAACAGCTTAATTAATATAAAATTTACTCTATATTCCAACTTTCAACTTTGAAATTCCGGATTTTCCAAAATGCTTCAATTTATGGTCGAATCTGAATTGAAAAATTATAAGGTCACTCCGAGGCTATTCAAAAGACAGCGAATGTCAACCCTACCGAGTGAATACCTGACATGAATTATAAAAACAGACATAAAAAGCTCTAAGCCTTTCGTAGTTGTCTTGAAAAAATCTGCACGCTCCTCCACTTGTATTTCTTTCAAAGAAAATCTCTTTTTATTTTGTTGGTAAGCTTTGCTTTTGCCGGAGCTGCTGAACCCCAGACCCTAATTGCTGATGATGGAAAGAACGTTCCATTACTTGACTATGATGAGATTCTAATGGCAATTGCCCGTTTAAAAACCAACGTGGCGGTTAAGAGCTGACAAGGTGTATGCATAAGCTACTTTGTAGAATTTAGCAGAATAAAGACGATCCCACAGTATGTGCCAATTGTGGTGGGATAAACCTCCTTAATATCACCTATAAGGTTCTGTCGAGCGTATTGTGTGAAAGACAGAGGCTCACCATGCGCCAAATCTTGGAAAACACCCGTGAATGGTGAGTCGACATCAACCACCTTTTCGTCGATTTTAAATAGGAGCCGCCTTTATGCCACTATGTCTGAATTTGATATCCGCGCAAGACTTATACGGCTATGTGATTTGGCCTAAAGCAGCACTAAAAGCTTCAGTCAGATACGGGAAGAACCTCTCCTAGCCGTTCGACACGAAACGAGGTTTCCTTATCATATGGCCTCTTTTTATTCGAGTGCTAGAGAACGAGCTGCAAAGCTGAATGGAGAAATCGCAAAATTCTATGAGAGTGTACAGCTGCTGGCGTTCGACACTGGAATGGGCATCATCGACTTCAACAGTCGCGTCATGAGTTCGACGACAATGACATGGCGAGATGGAAAAAGGGTTTTTCAGTTTTGTGAAAAATGTGAACACAAACAAATGTAGCTTAGACCTTGACAAGTTTCCTTCCAAGACATGCCGCCGAAAATGCAGGTGAAATTAAATGTACTACAGTAATTCGTCAACGATGAAGCTGCGAAGGTGTCTAGGTCAAAAATCCATAGTAGCGCATGCACATTTTTTTCGAGCCAATCCACCTATCATAGCTTCTTAACTCACTATGTGTGTGTGTGTGTTTTTTTTAAATAAAAAATTAATATTTTGCTCTTAGCCATGAATTTTCTCGTTGGTGTTGAGCGTTGCACGTCAGCGACAGGAAAGCATGCGCGAGCGGACGCGTTATTACGATGCAAATACAGGCACACACGTATGCACGAGTACGTATGTATATGATGTGCAAATTAAACGCCCCGAAAGCATTGGAAATTTCTCAGCAGTAAAATTTAATAAAAATTATTGAGTAAAAAAAAACAGAAAATAAAAAAAATTATTAAAAATTGCTCAACTCACTTTTGATGTGTTGCCAGCCAAATGAAGACCTGCAAAAACGCTGTTTTTAGCTTTTCTTCTCTTCACTCCTCCACTACATAGTTTATTGGCTAAACAGTCGGCTGACTGGCTGGCTGGCTGGTTTGCTGGTTGTCTCGTGTTTGCCTCAATCACCGAAATTCAAAATTTGTTAAAAAATTTTTGATTTCACATTCCCTTGGGGGTGAAATTTTTCTACGCTGTATTTTTAAATATTTTTCGCTCGTTTTTGTTTTTATTTTTTTCATCGCGTTTTGATAATTTTTCATTTTTACGTTTTTTTTTTTATATTTTCCCAACTTTGTACTTTTTTCCGTTTGCTCTTTCGCTTTGTTCGTTTTGTGCAATAATAACTAAAATTAGCAAAATTGCCAAAGTTTGACTTGCATGATGATTTATCTGTAATTTTGCATCAAAAACCGTTGACTGAGCATGAGCTTACAGCGCAAAAAAAAAAAGAAACAAGAAATGAAAAACAAGTATTGACGGCGTTGACTCGCCCGTTTGCGTCTGCGTTTGCGGTTGCAAGTGTTGATGGTGTGTCCGGACGGCACTTTTGCTTGTCTCGCCTCATGAATTGCATGCAATCATACATACATGTATGTCTATGTTTGTCATACAGTTGTACACATGTCCGTACAATAATAATGGTTTCATATTGCTCAAAAATTTTTGTTGTAGCTGTTGTTGCACCGTTTTTAATGCGCGGCATTTTGGCTGCTAAACGCTACGTTTTGAGCGGTGGCAAAGGAAATTGTAAAAAAAAACATTAGAAATTGAATTATTGTAACTATAACTAAATCAAACAAAAATCAAATTTTGTATATTTTTTTATTATGTTTTTTTTTGGACTTGCGGGTGTTGTTACCGTAATTTCAACTGTCGACGAAAGTTAGTTGCTTCATGGCATTTTATCTTTAGCAATATCAACACCATCAACATACATACATATGGCATTTATTTTGGCAGCACATCTCCTTGCCCCCAACACCTGTCACTCTCACTCACTCACTTACTCTCTGCCGCTGAAAACTGTGCCTTCTCTATAATCTGAATACCGCCACGGACGCTGCCGCTTTTCTCACACCAACCACTCAAGGGGCATTTGTTGTTTGGCTGCCGGTGTGTTTATTGTTATTTCTAAAGCTTTTCATTACTCTTGCGCTGTTACCGTTATTGTGTGCTTCATTTCTCGTTCATCAATCGACATATTATTATTATTTTTTTTTTTTGATTTTCTTTCCATTTTTTTTCATTTTTTTTTTCATTTTTTTCTTTGCGCAAGTAATTTCAGCTCGTAATATGTAATCTATTCAAATTTTTTGGCATATGATGTAAAACATCTACTCAACTGCATAACATTTTCAAATTTATGCTCACACATAAAAACTTACCTCCATACAAACACAAACACACACTTTACATAAAGGCTGTATGTGGAGAAAACCGCAAAAAAGGTTACTCAATCTTACTTTTTGGCGCATTGAAAAGTTTATACTTAATTTTTTGCTTATTCGATTATGTCGACGTTATTTCCTGTAATGTGATTTATTTTCTTTTTTTTTGTGATTTTATTTTGAATGCCCAGTGCCGTTTTTGTTGTAGAGCAAACGGAAAATATTTGCATGCATTCTTGCCATCGGCGGTCAGATTGAGTGGCGCGCTTATATGTTTGTTGGAAGAAAAGCAAAAATCACATCAGTTGGAAATTGACGGGTAATAACATATGAACATTTGTTCAAATAAACATACATACACACATACAAAAGTTGTTTATTATTAAGTGGCAAAGTCATAAGGACTTTACTGCGCGTTTTGCTTTGGACTTTGCCGTATTTTAAGAGCTAAAAGCCGTAATTTAGAATCAGGAAATAAATGTTAAATATTTAATAAAGCAAAAAAAATAAAAATGTAAAATTAAATTTCCTTTTACGAAACAATTATGTACATATGTATTTACTAGTTCCTTAACATTTCTAATTCCCTTTCGTGTATTCTCTTTTCTTGCAGAATGTTCTTTGGCATAAAGGATGGCCACTTACAACTCCAACCGGCGAAGTTATCTTGCATTTGGGTGCTCTTGATAATGCCCTTGTGCGTCAAGGCGACATATATTTATGCGTAAAAAGTGGTAAGTGGAATTTTTGAAATTAGGTCTAGCACAAAGTAAGCCATTATTTTGGCATTAAATTGAAGGCTTTATTTATCATAATTAAAATTATTTGATTTATGTCAAATAAGCATTGGCTTGCTCTATAACTTTTTGCCATTTTGTAGGTCAATTCACTATGCCTCTCTTAAAAAAAACCCTTGTCCTTATTGGCAGGTATTGGGGCAACCGATTTCACTGGCTTCTCTTAAGGATAATTCTTCACTAGCTAAATCATTCGCTATAGACAGGAACTCATGGTAATCAAGGCCTATAAGGTGTATGCTTAAGTACTTCATAACTAATGCTGGCAAGCTACTAATTAGTGTATGGTCTGTCGTTGACCTGATGAATTTCAATTAGTCAAAGCTAGGCACTCATGGGCGATTTCTTACCTAAGTCGACCCAGTTGCTGACAGACAGTACAGGTCCTATTTCAGAGTTTTGCTCTAGGGGAGCATATGATGATGGATAACTACTTGCCGATCCCACCAAACACAGAATAAAACCTTCACCTGGCTTGGAGACCATTTTTGCCGGTTCACTACCGTTTTATTCCGTTTGACTACGACCCTATTCGTTTGTCGTTGCTGTAAGTGATTCACTTTTCATCAACAGTAAACATTCGCTTGAGAAATAGGTCGACTCCGTTACGATTCAGCAGCGATTCGCAGACGGAAATTCGGCCGGTAAAGTTTTTTCTCGTTAACTGATGTGGTACCCTTACATCGATCTGTCAAGCTTCTGTGTGTTTTCAGCCCATTTTAATAATTAGCTTCTGGTCAAACAAAATAGTCCTTGTATTACGGTCAGCTGTATCAATATTTTCGACAACTGGCCTTGGAGCATCTTTTGTATTAAAATTATCGACGAAACCAAAATTTTTTTTTAATTAATTTGCTTAAACATTTTAGGTGTCTACTTTTTGTGCCACAAGATAAGTCAACTATTGATCGCATAGGTTAGTTGTCTGGCTAAAATGCTAGACTGGAGTTTCAGTTCCATTTTCTTGGCATGAATTACCTCTAACTTTTATATTGAAATCCATAAACGTTGAAAAGATTAAAATTCAACAGCCTAAGGTATATACCAGATATTTTTGAAAGCTCGAAATCGTTTGTTAAATCGCAGATATCAAGATTTTTGTCACATTAACACGACGGCGATATAGTTAAAATGTACTTTGACGCTCAAAACTGATATGATTGATATGTGTTACCGTTACAATACCGAAAAAAAATTAAAAACAAATTCCCCAAGTTTCCAGAAAAATTTAAAACAAAGAGCTAACAAATTCAAGTAGGAATATTCCAGGTATATCGAGCCCAATACCCAAGAAAAAGGTAGATAATTCCGTTTGAGAGGTCTGGGAAATATTCAGAAACGTTCCATGGAAAACGAGACTAATTAACTTAATTTTTAAAATTGACATCTAATTTATTATTTCCAACTTGGTTGATTCAAAATTATTTTTTCATGATCTGATGCCACTTTTTCGAGTCACTGTATCCATCGTCTAAAAAATGACGGTCGCCAGGTTTTAAATCCCTTCAGCATACATGAGGGAATAGTTTTCCCTTCATAACCATATAATCTGTAAGGGGAGCTATAAAAGAGATGGAGCGTAGTGAGATTTTAGAAAAATCTTACTATTTGTGGGACTAACCTGACTCAGAAAAACTCCATAACAGCTATAGAGAAGTACTTTTGGGGGCTTGAGTTGCTTATCTAAATTTATTGCTTGCGAGCCAGGTGATCTGATCTGAAGGTTCATGATTTCGAAATTTCTCAGTGAACAGACCAAGAACGAGAAATCGTATGTGTATCTATATATGACAGAAAATGTTTGTGGAATTAAAGTGGCTGAAAATAAATATATCAGAGCGTTGCCACAGGCACCGCCGAATATGTTTGGGTTAACATTTATTCACATTCAATCATTTCTTTAGAAAACAATAATCTCAAATCAATATTATCAAATTGAAATTCCTTTTATCACCTAAAATATTTCCATACTATACCCCACTTCTCAATTGCATATATATTTTTCTTTCATTTGCAGTTGATAAAGCGGAAACGCCACAATTGCATGTGGTTTGGCGTAACGCCTCAACCGGCCTACAAATACACCAACAACAGTTACACGCAAGTGCAACCGACACATTGGCTGCCGGCGAAGCGGCAACAAAAATCCAAAGTCATTGCATCGATTTCAACGTAATACAACCACCAATTACAACAACAACAACCATTAACACTCCACCGACACCACCACCACCACCAACACACTTAAGCGCCTTAACACTCGAAATGTTGACGAGTGACGAATTGCCGCAATTGTTGCAACATTTGCTTGTGGGCGTTGAGCACAGCATCGAGCGGGTCTCGTTGAATGAGCTGCAGATGCCCGCCCCAACAACGGCTATAACAACGGGAGCAACAACAGCGTTGCCTTTGGCAACGGATGAGGCAAATAATAACAGCAACAACTATAGCCATAATACGCGCAGTAGCAATAAGAATAACAACAATAACAGTAATAGTGCCACCACCACAAACAGCAGCCTAATACGCTGCAGCAACAACAATACAATTACAAATTCACCAAAATGTGCTTTACGCCGTAGCGAATTGATTACCAAAAACAAAATCCTCAATAATAAATTCATGTTGCGACGCCTCACCAATCGGCAGGACAGCATGAATTCCACCTCATCGGGACAGAGTTGTGGCAGTAGCGGAAGTACCTCTAGCGATGAGCTAATACGCTGCAATACCAGCAGCACCGGCAACAACAACAACATCAACAACCACAATAATATCAGCTTGGCAGTGCACAATTTGCTATTGGGCACCAACGCTGGCTCGTCCATAGCAGATCCGTCGTCATTGAAAGCACCACCACCACCACCCGCAGGCTCAACAAATTCGGCGAGCACTTCACCGGCTTTGCCACTCTTCTGTTTGGGCAATTCATTTCCGCACATCGATAGTGATGAAGGTGATGAAGAGAATGCGGACGAGAAACGTTGTGTGACTGGAGACGGTAAGTGTAAAGAAGAATTGGAAATATTTGTTTGGTCCGCGAAGTTTATGAACGAGCAAGATGCTGACATACCATAAAATTTAGGGAATAGTTTAGTGTAGTGATATTCATTGCAAAGCACTCAGTCTCCTTTTTTCCTTTTTCGCTACTTAGAAGGGAGAGAGGGATGTGGAGAGCGATAAATATACAGATTTCTACATATTTATGTCCCAATCATGTCAGACCCCTTCTTTAACTTGCGATACAAAAAACGCAAATTGAGTGAATAGAGTTTGACATTAACACCTCTGAAAAAGTTATTGCCGAAATACATTTAAATTTACTTCGATTCAGATATGTATAAATACCATACTTCTCGGGATGTTTTTTAGGTTGAGAAAGTAGTATTCACAACTTCGTGATAGTTGAAATTTGTTGAAATCTGCATTAATCGCACGATGGCATAAAATTTAATTATCTGAACAACATCAAGGTGCGAACCTATTCTAAATACACCGGCGCTAGCGCCACCTATCTTGTTTTCTTTAGCTTATGTATTTCGTAGCCTACATTTTGGCTCGAGAAATAATTTTTCTCATTCGACACCCATATTTGAGAAAATAATTTCAAGCATTAATTAAATAGTCTTGAGTTATAAAAACGGACAGCACTACAGAGAATGATTCAAATCTGGTGACTATAATAGCTTTTAAAAATAAATATTAATTGAAATGTTTCATAATAATTAACTTAATTTATTACGGGTGAGAAGGGAACTGAATAATATTTTTCTCTTCGAAATTTTGTTGAAAACATCATTTAGTGAACTGGCATAGGTCATGTTACAGCAAGTGCTATTTTTGTCTGAAATATCGGAATATGTTAGTTGTGAAATTAATATTCCTAACAATAAAATAAACGAAGCTAATTTTTCCATGTGGATTTTTTTTACAAATTTTTTTAAGTTTAAAATTAAATCATTATTGCAAATATCTAAGAGACAACAAACTTTTAGCCAACTTTTTCACTTTAGTTTGTATTTTCTTTTCTTTAATTTTTACCTCTTTTTCGCAATTTCTCAAAACAATGGCACACCATCTCAAACTTTTCCTTTCATTTATCAGGCATATACACCCAAAATATACACTCGCACATACATTCAAATAGTTAGTATGCAAAACAATTGATTGAAAAATTACCAAAGCAATCAATCAATCGTGTTTTGTTTTATGACCAACAAATAGTAAATACTTCACCTTGCTCATGTCAAACAATGGCAAGAAGGAAGGAAAGCGCGTTAGTTGAGTTTGACTCACCTGTTGAGCGCAAATACAAAGACAAAGGCGATGGAGTGCAACGCCTTCTTCTAACTATGAAACAGGCGAAATGAAATGAAAACGAAGGGCGTCTGTTGCCGCCAGCACTAAAAAGACAGCCAGCCAGACAGACAGATAAGTATGCTGGCAAGGTAAATAGTTAGCGTATTTGGCTGTGGCAACAAGATGTAGAGATGTGTAGATAATAGTTGTGCGAATGAATGAAGTGGTGGAAGAGAAAACCAAACAGGAGAAATATAAAACAATAAAAGTCAAATTGAACTTATTTTAGTATCGTTTTTTCTTTAATTTAATTTCTATATTTATTATTTTTATTTCTGTTTTTTAATTTCGTGATCTCTTTCTTTTAAAAATTTTGTAACTTTTCCTGCACTTCTCTTACATTTATAAAACGATTGAGTTTTGCTTCTTATTTATTTTATTTTTTGTCTGTATATTTATTGCACTAAACCGCAGTCATAATTTATTAAATGCTCCACTCAAAAGTCACTCATACGCCAGGGTGTACCTATGGGATTGTCAACCCACCTGCGCGTGTATTGTGTTTATATACATATGGAAAAGCAAGAAAAAAATACTTAAAACTTACATAATCTACAAAGTAACGGTAACTTTTGTTTTTAAGATAACCAGGAAAATGTAGCTAAGTAAAGCGAAAAAATATCAAAGAAAAAATTAAAACATCAAAACCTTCATGTTCCTTTGGATCGTGGATTTCCAGAGACATTTGCAACAAATATTAAAGAAATTAAATGACGACAACTCAATAAATTGTTACAGCAATGACAAGCTGGCGTGCCCGGCCTAACGGTCACAAATATATAAAATTGTAATGTAAGAGTACTTCCTCGTTGGTGTGCTAAGCAGAGATGCCAAAAGCGGAAATGAAAAAATTGACAGATTGAACTTTTCTAAAACAAAATAGAAAAAAAAAATTAGATAGAATAACAAAAATGGAAGTTAAATGAAATTAAATAGAATTAAAAATTAAAGAGAATAAAAAAAATCAGAAAAATAGCAAGATTAAATAAAATGTAATAAAATAAAACAAAATAAAAGAGGATGTAAGAAAAACTAACTGAAAATAACACATAAAAAGAATACGAAATAAAATAAAAGTAAAAGAAAAATAAAACCAAATAAAATAAAATAACATAAATAAATTAAATGGAAAAGGAAAATAAAATGAAAATTCAAAATAAAATAAAAATTTAACATATATTAATATAAAATAATAAAAATAAGATAAAAACAAAAAATAGTAAACTTAAAAAACTAAAAAAAAATATATATAAAAAAAGATGAAATGAAATGACAAAAATAAGATAAAATTAAATAAGAAGCTGCAGAAAATTAAATGAGGTCATATAAAAAATAGAATATAAAACATAATAAAATAAAGCGAACCGAAATAATATGAACTCAAATAAAATAAAATTATTAAATAAAATAAGACAAAATGAATAAAATATAATAGATAAAAGATAAAAATTAGAAATAATAAAATAAAAACAAAATAAATTAAATTAATTTAAATAAAATTGAATTGAGTAAAATAAAATTAAATAAAGCAAAATAAAATGAAATAAATTAAAATAAAATAAAATAAAATAAAATAAAATAAAATAAAATAAAATAAAATAAAATAAAATAAAATAAAATAAAATAAAATAAAATAAATTAAAATAAAAGAAAAATATTAAGTAAAATACAATAAACCAAAATAAAACAAATCGAAATAACAAAACAAAATTATATAAAGTAAACTAATTTGAAATAAATTAAATTCCTTGAAAAACAGATTAATAAATGAAAAATTGAGAAAAAATAATAAATGTAATTAAAATAACAAAATTTAATAGAACATTGCCGTTTATCGTCACATGCCTTCAAACTAAGCAGAAAACAAATAATGTGAGAGGCACGGCGCTGTGCAGACGGAAAAGGATCTCACTTGGCGAGGCTGGGATACATGTTCCTCAGTCAGCAGTAGAAAAAGCTATAAAACCGCTGCTTCAAAATTGCCAAGAGAGCAGCTGGAGATATATCGAGGAGTGCGATATTTTCTAATGGTCACATATAGTATATATCGTAACACTACGAACGAGTTGTCGTCTATGTGAAATAAATAAATTGAATTTAATTAAAGTTCGCATAAAACTTTGTGCATAGATTCGTTTCTTATTCTTGATATCAGGTCTTTCCAAAAATAGCGTTTTTGTATTTTTTTTTTGTCTGTATACATGCATTTTTCAATCAATTGTCTTATATAATTATAAAAATTAAAACCGAAATCGTTCAATATATAAAAATATACGCACTCTCCATTTCTGGTGATTAATAAGTGAAAGGGAAAACGCTTTTACCGTTAAACTTCCGATAACAAAAATACAAAAGAGACACTTAAGCACTTGAAAAGTAAATAAATAAAAAGAACAAAGACAGATTTGGTATGGTGATATAAAAAAAAAACTAAATAATTTTATTTACTTTCTCAACTAATTTCATGAATTCCCGCAGCAGTTTCACGCCACACGCTCTTCAACCGAAATATGCATCCCAGCGTCTTGCCACAAGAGACAAACCATTTTTGTTTGCTTTACTTTTTTCTTAAATGGACTGGCGCTTAAAATTATTGTTATCATAATTTTGTTATGTTTTTCTTGTTGATATTTTCTCATAATAATATTCACGTATTTTTACCTGGTTGATGCTTTATTTTTCTTCACATTTTCAACGCCCATGTTTTTCTTGCTGACTTTGTTATTTTTATTTTCCCGTTTGTTGTTTTATTTTCCTTCGCTGCAGCAACACAAACAAATCGCTTTAACACATTGCCTAGTCACTTGGTGCCTATCACCCAACGCGCATCGCGATAACAACAAACAACACTCTAGCGCCACCAACACCACCAACACCACCACCACCACCACCACCACCGACATCACCATCATCAGCTTAATGACTGCGCCATGCCTCCCTTTACCACTTATTCGGCCTATCTCTATATTATTTTTATAGGCGGCATAGCCAAATAGTGCCCGAAACGAAGCGGCGAACGAACGAAGCTTGCATTTGTGTGGCACGAAAAGCTCATAAAACTGCTGCAGAGCATCAAATCAGCGCATTAATTTTATTAACAGTCAATAAATCTGTGCAACGCGCCGCAAATGCAGCGATAAACCAAAGCAACAACAAAACCAACAGTGCCGGCAATATCGGTTACTGCAGTAAAAGCGAATGCCAAAGAAAAAAGAAAGAAAATAAATAAATAGTTAAATAAACAAATGAAAAATGTTAAAAGTTAAAAAATGCTTTTGCAACGCTGCAGCTTAACAACCGTTACGGGAAAAGCAACTGCAAATTGGCAATATTTTCTTCAAAAGGTATCGATGACTCGATGTTGCAGCGCAATGCAGTGGCACTTTTCTTCGTCGACTGTTGAGAGTTGCCAACTGGCCTTTGCTGGGGAGTAGCTGCCAACTGTTCCCAAATTCCTTCACAGTAACAGAAGAGCTTTTCTAAGGCAAAAAAAGGGCAAAATACTCCAGGTCAGTCCTCACCACTGTAACGTTATCCGACATATGGAAACAGTGTAGAGTGGCCTTAACACTTAAATGCTAATTTTCCTACTCACAAAAATAATTGATGCCTTGCAGCTCCCGTCTTTCATCCATCTCCCAA